CCCCCCCCCCCCCCAACCCCCAACCCCCATATCCCCCAGACTAGAGGTTGTCTCCTGGCTGGTACAGTGGCTCCGTGGCTGTGAAGTAGTCTTCCAAAAACGACTGAATGTATTCGAAGGTCGGTCTTTCGTCTGGCTCCTTCTTCCAGCAGTGCCTCATCATCTCATGGAGGGACTCGGGGCACCCCTGGGGGCAGGGCATGCGGTAACCTCGTTCTACCTGCTCAAGTACCTCTCGATTCACCATACCTGGAAGAAACACAGAGAAATGTGGTTTAAAAAAAGACTGCAGGTGGATTGCCTTTTAATCCAAAATAATACACAATTTGAGTCATTCATCCACCGTCTTGATCAAATAGACCTCCACATGTCGACGGGAAGAGTTGAGCCCTATAATGCAAGTCATTTAACCTACATACATGATGGGGGTTCATAACTAATACATGTATAGTTTGTTCTTAAGTCTTGTTTTGTAGCGCTTATTTTGTCATTGTCTTTAAAAACGAAGGTACCTTATTTTAAAAGGACCGTAGTTGCAGGCAACTAACGGATGAAAAATAGTGAGGCAACAACCTGATTTCTTTGGTGAGAGTTGCCTAGTCCCTGAGAAAGCAAATAAAAAGTTTTCTGGTCAAAAAAAAAATAGTGCAAGTTCTGATTAGGAGGCAGCCCAGTTTGAAGCCTGCAGCCAATGATGGCATCATGCTGCTGACAGGAGGTGAAAATTCCCCCGCAAACCACTGTGTTAAAGGAAAAAGATGACGAAAAATGTAACAACACTTACAGGGCACAAACATCGTTAGTAGTTTGAAGAAATAAAATGTAATTATAAATGTAAGTTGTGCCAGTGTAAAATACTCTAGAGATCACATAAGATTTGGAAAAAAAACAGTGCTGCTTCATCTTCTGCCCTCCTCCTTCCCTACTAGAGCACCAGAGTCGTGGATTCCTTCCCAAGACAGGAAGACAGCAATCCTGAACCCTGTGACACAGCGCTGAAACAGCTCCATGGGGAGCTCGACTGTAGCTAAAAGAGGTTATGACACAGAGTTGGTGGTATGGTCACAACCCCCCCACCCCCCAGAAGGAAAGACCCAGAGCAACTGCTGAGACCAGGATATGGTGGCGGTGGTATTTCGGATGCTGATGCGTTAGTGCGATTTATGTCTGGGATCTGAAACCGTCAGCTCTAATAACATGCCGGTCATATCTATACACATATACACACAGACTGAAATAGAAGTAAAGATGATGTGTTCACGTGGTCTTGGTATACCTACATCACACTGCTTCTACGTTTTAAAAGAAGAGAATAGAAATAAAGCTCCCCAAAAAGACTGCAGCACAGCAGGACAAGAGCCACAAATTACCGGTGAGTCATACTACAATTTTAAGAAGGGGAAAAAAGGCTCTGGGGTGAATAATTAGACCGAAAGGTTTGCACTGAAAGCAAAAAAAAAAAAAGGGCCCCAGGAGCCAGATGGCCCTCTACAAGAGATGGTGGTTAAGTCTGCCATATGGCACGCTCTGTAATCAGTGCCAGGCAAACGCCGTCATCAGCAGACACGATGCAGTACTGCTCTCCACCAGCAGGGGGCAGAAACGAGGAGGCAGACAGCATCGTGTGTGAGAGAGTAAGAGGTTCTTTCCCATGCAGGGACATCTGTGTCGACTCATATCATTGCTATATATAGTTATATATTCTCATCTATAAGTGTGAGAAGAAGACTATTAAAAGCTTCAGATGATGATGATGATGATGATGATGAGCAGTGAGCAGCATGAAGGAAAATATGAAACGTATTCAAGATAATGAACTTTAAAACCAGAAATTTTCAAAAACCTCAGGAAAAGGCAGCTTCTCATTTAAACTGAAAAGGACCAAATGAAGACACACTTCTGATAAGTCCACATCTGTGCTGTCTCAATGTTACCTGGGTATGGTACTCGGCCCTTGGTCACCAGTTCAGTCAGTAGTATACCAAACGACCAGACGTCTGATTTGATAGTGAAGCGGCCGTACAGAGCAGCTTCAGGGGCCGTCCACTTGATGGGAAATTTAGCACCTGAAAAAAAGAAGTAAAACAAAGTCAGGCAGGGGGAATAACTAATATGTTTAGGGTGGCAACTTACCATTATTTTCATCATTGATTGATCTGCAACTAATTGATTAATAGTTTAGTCTTTGAAATAGAGAAAAAAAAAAGACAACCTGATCTCATGAGAAGGCGTATATATTTAAAGGAAACCATTTAAACGACATTCTGCGTGTCATGACAGCGGATTTTAGGCTTTTCTTGTGTCATTCGTTAGGTTTAGGCAAAAAGTTGGGTTTAAAAAAAAAACATAATGCATAAAATAAGTACGTAAACAAAGTGAAACCAAACAACGAAACATAAGTACAAAAAACACGTCTACAATTCACACACACACACACACACACACACACGCACGCACACATGCACACACACACACACACACGCGCACGCACGCACACACGCACACACGCACACCTTGTCTGGCGGTGTACTCGTTGTCCTCGATGAGCCGAGCCAGGCCAAAGTCGGCGATCTTGCACACCAAGTTATCAGCCACCAGGATGTTGGCAGCTCTCAGGTCCCTGTGGATGTAGTTCATCCTCTCGATGAAGGCCATGCCGTCTGCGATCTGAGACGGGATTGGACCGGACAGACAGTAAGGGAGGGGAGAGGGAGGGGGGAGGGAGGGGAGAGGGAGGGTCGCATAAAGAAAATAGCATCAGGACGCAACAAAAGCAAACAGTCAAGGACAAAACATTTGAGAATTTTGCAAATGAAAAGATTGAGATCAAATATTACTTTTCTATAATAAGAATTAAAAGGGGTTAGAGTGAGTTGCCATCTTAGGAAATACACATTTCATTGTTTGAGACCCAGATATGCAGGCAGAAATATTGTTGAAAGAAAAAGATTATTTGGATTTACAACATCAAATCGGACAAATCTTTAACACAACTATCTCCTCACGCTGGCCGTCAACTCCCTCAGAGGCGTCTCGAGGTTTCAACTCGCCTCCGTCTAATCCTCAAGCATTTTCCACTCTGACGAGTGAGGAGAAGAGGGAGCCTGGGAGCGTGGAGGGGCGAATTAAGAGCAGATCAGGGAAGGTGACTGAACCAGCGTGCTTAAGTGGCCTCTGATGAGCTGTGTTTAAGTGCTACAGCGGCAGTTAAGTGTTGGAGAACGAGGGGCGGCGTCTACAGGAGGAGGAGGGTTGAGATGTCTGGTGGGGTATTAAATAAATATGACAGCCAGAAGGAGAGCAAAGTGTTATTCACAGGGTCTGAATATTCACACTCTGGCTGGGAGGTTGCCAACATGGAGCTCTCTTTGTTTATTGCTGATGCAGGTCAGGGGGCAACGGGAGTTTCTGTGCTTGTGTTTGTATTCAGACGCTGTGTTTCGATCCTACCTGTGCCGCCATGTCCACCAGCTGGGGCAGCTTCAGATATTTACCGTCTCCCTCCTTCAGGAAGTCCAGTAAACTACCTGTCAAGAGTTCAGAGGAGTGGAGCCGAATCAATACATCTGTCTGAGTGTTGCACAAATGCAACACAGAAATAAATAAAGGATCAGATGAGACGAGAGTTCAGCATCAGAAAACGCTCAAATAACCAAAAACACTCGAAGGCAACATGACCGCAAAGGTCTTCTTCAGTAAGTTCTGTTCAGTTTTATGTTCGTCTTTGACTTTACTTATAAACAGACTCATAATCAGAGTTACAACCAATGAAATACTTATTGAGGTTAGAGATTCTTTGTACATGAATGCCCTGTGAAGCACTTGCAACATGTTTCAGTTTCCATCATTGTTTTTATAAACCTATCAACTTGTTCGCATGCATCTCTTCCAAGTGTGTCCGTTATGACTGGTGCTTATTCTTCTCTTCTGGTTGGCGAGTTTGACCTCTCCTTACCTTTGCCCATGAATTCAGTTACAATGTAGATGGGCTCCTCCGACACCACGGCGTAGAGAGGCACCAGTTTGTCGTGTCGCAGTTTCTTCATGATCTGAGCCTCCTGCAGGAAGGCCTCAGGAGACATGGTGCCTGGCTTCAGGGTCTTGATAGCTACCTTGGTAGTGCCGTTCCATGTGCCTTAAAAAAAACAAAACACACACACGCATCAGGAAAACAAAATGATAACTCGTGTTTGAAACAAACACAAACCAATGTTGCATTTGTGCATCCTGCAAAGTATAATTAACCTAATGCTTTTCCAATTTATTAAGTGACACGCACTGTACTACTAAAACCCTGAAGGTACATTAAAGACTTTTTGACCCCTTTTAAGTGATTGAAAAGTCAATCCTAAAAATCCCGCCAGTGATCTCTGGCAGTGTTCCCATGTGTGAAGAGCAGCTCAGGAGAGAAAGAACACGACAGCTAAAATAATCAGGCACTTCCTGGTCGAGAGCCACTTACTCACGCCCTGCTTGCTTACAATGAGCTGAGGCATGAGATCTACTGTTTCCATCATAAGGCTGACCTTCATGAATGAGTCACACTGAACAAACACACACACAAGCTGGAGGACAAAGTAGAGCAGCGATATTATCCGATAGTAATAATATGAGGTGGTGAGAACACAATGGAGGTCAACTAGCATAAGCAAACGTAACACATTTAAGAGAAACGTAATGTTGAACAAACACGGGAGCTAGGACGGGATTTTCATTAAGAAGTTGTAGCCGAGTAGAAAAACCATCAAGAACAAAACGGAGCAGGGAGAGACGGAGAGACGGAGAGACGGAGAGACGGAGAGACGGAGAGGGATTCCTGGGATTGCACAGCGGAGGCTTGCAGGTCGAGGCTTGCTGCAGGCCAGGAAGTAATGAAAGACCGAGTGATGAAAGAAGAGAGCCGTGTTCACTGAAAGGCTCCGTCTCACATGCAGGCCGGGGAACTGAAGCGTAGGAGGTGACCTGTGATTACTGAGCTGTGTGTGTGTGTGTGTGTGTGTGTGTGTGTGTGTGTGTGTGTGTTTGTGTGTGTGTAAACATACAGCAACTTCAGTATGTGGGCCAGTGAGTGAACTTTAAAGCTAGAATGAATCATTCTATAAACTAACTCAGTTTACATTCACTGCTTTTGTTTTACATGAAAGTTACATCAGTTATGAATAATGTACAGCGGATGCTTTGTCTCTGCATGTAAGCCCTAATGGCCGTGTGAGTATATATGCATGCAGTTGTTTGTATTCTTTACTAATTCATGATGTATGGGGTCAGATCCGTTTCAATATTGATGAATGCACTCAGAAATGTATTTTCAATGCACACAAAAGATAAGATTCCCAAATTGTTGTTGCATTGATATACAAACCTGCATTTACAAAGTGCTCGTCATGTGCGAACTTCACTACATTTGTGTGTGTGGGGTTTTTCAACAGGGAATTATCTGCAGCCAATCAGATGTCTCCTCAGGTAGGGGACGGGACGGAAAGTGGACATAATGAATGGGTCTGTGTGCCATTTTGTTTGTATGTATTGAAAAAGTGAAGAAAAAAAAAACTTGAATAACAAAAGTAAAGACGATTGATAGAACATGGGTTCGGTGGCCTCATTCGTCGTTCACAAACCACTTCACAAGACAATATGCACGTGTGTTTGAAACACATGCCGCGTGTGCTTCAGTACAGTGAACGTCACGGTCTCTTACCCATCCAGACTTCTCCGAAGCAGCCCTGGCCAAGTTTGATTTCCAGTCGAAGTGAGTCTCGCGGGATTTCCCAGGCATCCCTAGCTAGACCCTGAGTCTGAGGCTTCACTGTGGGGCACACGGCCGTCAGCTTGTAGCACAGACCATCCGCATGTTCTGGACAGGAACGGACGAGTGAAGACACACAGGAGGGGAAAAAACAGAAAAAGCTTTGAGTTGTAGCTTGTTAGGGATCAGCCTGTTCAACTAAAACTAAATCATTGCCGACTACATACACACAACTGTAGCAGTAAGCACAGCCACGCTAAATCTGATCAGAGCGAGCGGTAAATATCTTTTAGCAGTCTTGGCCCGTCATCTCCTCAGTCACTCCTCACAGAATAATCCTTTTTTTTTTTTAAAGTGCTTCGTTCCAGAAATAATCAAATCTTATGGTAATTTCACCATAATGACATGAACCATGTTGAACTCAATTTGATTTCAATTTCAGTAAGAAAGCAAAAAAAGATCAAGAGGTTGTTGAGCGCTTAATGCAGCAGACAGCAGCAGCACTAACTATCTTGTAAAAAATGTAGCACTGGTATTCTGGGCACAGAAAATGGAGACACAACGAGAAACCGAACCAGTCTGTGATATTTAAACCACTGAAGAGGTATGACTTCTCTCAGTTATTGTTGACTGGAGCCAAAGGGCTACACTTAAAGCAATACAAAGGAGTCATAAAGAGCACTGCAGTTCGTGTATTACATGAATTATATGGGAGCGTGCAGGGCAGGGTCAACGACACAAAACCTAAGATCCAGTGTTCTGCTTCTGGGAGTTTAAATGTGTTCTTGTAAAATCACCCAGATGCTTTCTTGTGACAGTCTGCATTTTTTTTTTTTTTCAAGTCACAGCTGCCTCCCTGTCGACATTCAGGAGATTACAGCAGGCTTAAGACATTTTGTATTCATGCCTCTTTTGCCTTAAGTCTCACATGGTTTTGCTTTTTTGGGACATTGTGGTGATTGAGCTGAGTCCGTGTCAGTGAACGGCCTCAGAATCTCCACAGAAAAACAGATTCAATACATATCCCAGCTGATCTGCCGCTGAATTGTGCATTTTCTACTGAGAGCACTGAATTCGTTGGCATAAATACTTAAACAAAATGACTACAATAGACATTGTTTGTCCAGAAAACAGACTCCATGAGTCTAGAAAGAAAAAAAGAACAGCTGTCCAGTTGTAAACAACAATTTGTCTAAATGCTAAGTGACGGGCTGCATACCTGTGTAGTGTTTCACCAGCTTCTGCAGCACCTCAAACTGGGCCCGGGTGGTGATGTAATAACCACCGCTGTCCAGCTTTCGGATCTTGTAGTGTTTGACGTTGTCTCCCTTCACCTCGTCCCAGTCCCGGATAGACAGAGAGTAGGCACCTTTAAGAGCCACAGAGAGCAAGTTAGACTGTGCTTCTTAGGAGCAGAAAGTCTCAAGTCTGCGATACACATCAGGCTTTTATTATACACAACAACAACAGGTGAATATAAAACACATTTACTTAAAGTGTCTTTTTCTCCTTGTAAATTAACATACAGCTGCAATAAAAGCTTGGACAAGCACAAATAGGGGAAGCTTTCATCACTTGCCTAATACATCCAAACTGCAGCATTTTAATTACAGTCTTGCTTTCAAGAATGAAATCCTCTTACCTTTGGTCGTCTCACTCTCTCTTGCCAAGAAAGTGCCCCGCTGGTTCCCTGGAAGCAATAAGAGCCGCTCAGCGTCTTTGCGGCCCATTTTACCAAAGTACCATCTGCACAAAGAGAGACAGATAGTGAGACAGTCAGGAAGAGAGACAGTCGGGTAGAGAGACAGTCGGGTAG